CTCGAGCCACGGTGGCAGCGGGCCCGCGGCGGCGGAAGATGAGGTGCGGGACGCGATCGCGGGCCCCGACTTGGGCGGCGGAGGGGACGCGTCAGCCTCAGCCCCTGACAAGGACGGAGACGGCAGTGTCGACAGCCGCCACTTGGAGCTGAGGTAGTGGAGCGTCTGACTCCTAATCTCTGACCCCGGACCCCGCGACTCCTGAGATCCCCGGGAGTGGTTGCAACAGCGTGAGCTCTGAGTCCTTGAACCTGTGCCCTGGACTAAACTGGGACCGATTGCCCCTTGGGCCCTGCGGGGAAACTGAGGCCTGGGGGAGAGGGTCACCTGCCAAGGTCACCTAGATGGAGGGTTGGAGCTGGCAGCTACCCCACTCCCAGACCCCCTAGAGTCTGCGCATCCTTAGGTGGGTCCTGAGGCCCTTTCCAAGGGGTGAGGTGGAAGCCTGGTGCCCTTGGCGGGCTCTTTGGTTTTAGCCCTGGACAGTGTCTCTTGTCTGGAAGGAGTTAGATGAGATCTGAGGGGTTTGTGATTAAGGAGCTTTTCTGAGGGATATGAGAGGTGCTTTAGGGGTAAGGGGAGTTCCAGAGGAGGGCTGGCCTGCTAGAGAGGGGATCTGCAGGAACTCGGGCCTGAAGACAGGGCAGTGGGCAAGGCAAGGGACAATGTAAGAGGCATTCTTGTCCTTGCAGATCCTCTTTTTTTTTGGAGTTGGAGTCTCACTCTGTCACCCAGGCTGGAGTGCAGTGGCATGCTCCTGGCCGTTGTGGCCTCGACCTGGTGGGCTCAAGCGATCCTTCCGCCTCAGCCTTCCAAGTTGCTGGAACTACGGGCACGTCCTACCACGGTGGACCCTCTTGAGAGTGACTGTGTGGCTCAGTCATCCTCTCCAGTCATTAGGCTGACTTGAAGTCTTGCCACTGTAGGGGCAGTGTTGGGTTCTGAATTGGGACTTTCATCCCCTGGTTTGGGTACAGGTGAGGGGTTTGAGGTGGACACACCTGCAGGTGGGTACCCTGCTTAGCTGAATGACTGACAGGAAAGGGTGGGGGAAGTGAACCATGGCTGATTGGGAGGGCATGGCCTGACTGGGCTTTGGCTTCCTCCTTCAGGCTGGTCCTGAGCAATCCCTTTGCCACCCTCCAGCTTCCCTTTTTGGCCTTCACCCTGGCCCAGGGAGACCTTCAGGGGCTTTGGCCTAGGGAGCAGCTGAGGGGCTAGAAGTTATCACGGAAGAAGTAGGCAACTGGACATTTGGTTGGCAAGAATTTGCCCTCTCAGTAAACAAGAACAGAGCTTTTCTTCACTGGGCTTTGTGGGGAGGGAGTTAGAGAGAACAGCTGGGGTGCAGATACTGTCATGGCCCTCGGGGTGCTCACAGTTCACTTGGGAGATAAGATAACCTCAGCGTGAGTCTGGCATAGAGCAGTGTGGACAAAGGTCGGGCAAGAAGGCCATGAAGGCACTGTGGGAGGAGGAGGGTGGCCCTCTTGAGAGGGGCACATACTTACTGTGGGCCTGAGGTGGTGCTGTGGGAGGCTAGTCTAGTCACCTCCTTCCTGAAAAGGAGATAAGGTCCTGGAGTTACCCTCTCTAGGAGGCAGGAGATGGCTAGCATGACCTCCGGAGGGGTTAGGAATCGGTGTCCTTTTGTATGAGATAGGGGGTAGTCCCAGCCTTGGGCCAACCTGCTGCTCTGGGATAGGCAGGGGATAGCAGTCATTTTCCTTCTTTGCCAGCTGAGCCTTTTCTGTGCCCCTGCTGGTGTGGGGCTGAGTGCAAGGCTCATGGGAGAGGCTGGATGAGTCCCTGTCCCTGCTGTTGAGGTGTAGTCTCCCTGGGAAGAGGAGCTGTGTATGGCAGAGGTGGGGCATTCCTGGAGCCAAAGGCTGAGCCAGCTGATCTGTCGCTTTTGAACCAGGACCTGCAGGCTCTGTGTGCTTGTCCCTTAAACCTGGGGATGCAGCAGAGCTCAGGACCCACTGGTTGGGGGCACTGGATTCTGTTCTCCCTGCTGCCAGGGTCAGGCCTTACTCTGCTGCCCTTCTGGGACTTGGCCTCTAGCACACCCCCTTGTTGTCCTCATCTGCCTCCCCTCCTTCCTGTTGCTGCTCTTGGCTCAGCCAAGCCTTTCCTCTCCCCCTTCCTCATGACTCCTTGAGCTCTGGGCCTCCTCCCCTCCCTGACACTTCCTGCTCACCTTGGGCTGGGCTCTGGGTGTGAGTTCATTTCTTCCACCCTGCCCTATAGCAAGGTGAGGCTGTAGGCCTGGAAGGAGAGGACACTCCTTCCTGCCCTGCCTGTGGCTTACCCCTTCCAAGCTCTTTGCACATTTGAGCCAGCCCTCTGCTCACAGGCACTCCAGGCAGGGCCTTCTGATTTCTGGCTTCTCCCAGGGTGTTTTTCCCTGGGTTGTCCTCTCTCTGACTCTCCCTGTTTCTCTTCAGCAGGGTCTGAGACATGTGAGGAGCCTGCCCCAACCTCCTCACACCTCAGGGTCCAGCTCAGAGGTTGGTGTAGAGGAAGTACTGAGGAGGTGGCAACTGGGAGAGGAGCTGGCATTCTGTCCCCTTGCACTGCTTGGCCCTGGACTAGACCATGTGTGACCCACACTTGGGGGTTGTGCTTTCGATCATGCCTCGATCCTCAGCACAGGATGGTGGGGATGGGCATGTGCTGACCTTTCAGTGCTGATGTGAGGTGGAGTGAGAGGATCCTCTTGGCTGGGTGGGCTGCTCCTTGTCCTCTTGGCCTGGGGAGTGGATCAGAACAGCTGGCAGACCCTCCAGTAGGTGAGAGGATGACAAAGACACTTTGGGCACGACTGGCCAGATCCCATCTCCCCATGCCAGTCCCTGCCAGCCTGCCCTCTAGCCCACTTGCTGCTGGTCATTTGGCAAGCCTGGAGCTATGTGGACATTGATGGACAGGGGCTTCCTCCCCTGGTTTGGGACAGTGCAGTGGATGCTGCCTGGGGGTGGGCTGGTCAGGCCTGTGGAGGGACCCCAGGCATGGGCGTGAGTTGAAGGAGGCCTTGGAAGCCCATCAGGAGGACCCTGGAAAACTTATAATGTTATCTGGTATCAGCTTTGGAAAGCAGCACCCTTTCCCTACCTACTCTTGTTTTCAGTTTGGAAACAGGCATGGATAAAGCCAGCATGGTCTCCTTGCGGGTGCAAAGGGGGCATGGGTTACAGTGTTGTGAAACAGCCTTGGTGATGTGAAGATAGCACTTGGTAGGGTGTGGCACAAGAAGGCCAACCAGGAGACTTTGGGATAGTTCTGGTGAAAGTGAATGGGCTTGAACTCGAGTAAGAAGGAACAGTGGGGAGGCTTGGTCCAGCAGACAGACCCAGAGAGGCCGTCCTTCCTTGGAGTTGGGTCTTATACTCCTGCTCCCTTCATGGTTCTGGGGCTCTGTGGGGCATGCATGCCCAGCCTTTGGGCAGTGAGTGGAGTGGTCTGGGGAGATGCACCAAAGGCTGTGGTCAGTTGGAAAGGCAGGTGCAGACTCAGGGAGGAAAGGGGCTCAGGTGGAGACCACAGCCTCACTGTGTGTCCCAAGACAGGCCTGGTGGGTGGATGTAGGAAATTCAGGCCTGAGATTGGGAGAGGCAGGTGGACGATGGCAGGGGCTGGGGCTGAACTGCCCTGGCCTGGTGCTCCAGCCTTGATGGGCAGAGGGAAGGGTGTAACTAACCTCCTACTAGATGGGATGCTGGGAGATAGTGTGGATGGATCCAGGGACTGTGTAGGTGTAGATGGGACAGGTGCTGTGCTGACTTTGTTCTGGGGAGTAAAGGTCAGGCCTGTTGGCATTGCCCCTCTACCTCCCTGGCCCTATGCCTCCTGGGTGGGGCTGTCCGACTGCTGACCCCAACCCCAGCCAGTTTGCCTCTGGGCACCAAGATGCCCTGAGAGGACATCTGTGCTATGGGACTCCTGCTGTTGCTTCCAGGCCCACACCCCTGCCCAGGGGCTCTGAGGCAGAGAGGCGTGTGTGTGGGAGGGAAGGGGAGGCCCTCGTCTCTCCTCTTACAAAACCCAGACCTTGCTCAATGCTGTGTGCAGTTTCCTGGTGGCACAGCAGCTGAGGGGTGAGGTGGGGCTGCATCTGAAGTGAGTGAACCAGTACTGGTTCCTGGGACAGGCGGGGCCTGGCCTTGCCCCTGCTGTTCTTGTCTCAGCCCCGTAGTGGCCCCTGGGGTCAGGGGTCCTCTTCCAACTCTGTTACCCTGGGGACCAGGCAGGGTCTACTTATGTTTCCCCCCAGCACTGAGTGGGAGATCACAGATAGGTGCCTGCCTCTGCTGTCAGGTGCCTGGTCCCAGGTGGGCTCCTTTCGGTCCTCTCAGTCCAGGTTGGAACACAGCACAAACAAGTGGAAGCCACATGAGCAGAGGAGGGCCAAGTCCCTGTCTTCTCCAGGAAGGTGGCATGTTAGGCTGGATGCTTGACTGGCTCTTGGCCTTCCTGTGCCCACTGGGCCTATGTAGCCAAGTGTGGGGAGGAAACTCTTTTGGGCTATGGTGAGGTCCCCTTGGCTGGCTGGGTGGTGGAATGGGTCGACTGAGTAGAGTGGACTTGACCATCACCTCTTTGTCCCAGCAGTGCTGGACGGTGATGAGTGGGTCCACAGATTCCCTGGTTAGACTCTTCTTGTGGCCCACAGGCAGAGGGCAGCAGCCAGAGGCCTCTGGGGAGTGAGACCAGACTCCTGGCCTGGGTTGTTCAAGCCCCATGTAGGCCTGAGCTAGGCCAGCTGGGTTTGCTCCTGCCAGTAACATGCCCTTCCTCACTGCCTGGAGGCACAGACTCTGAATGGTCCTAAGAACTTTGTCTGTTGTTGGCCACGTGGCTGCCAGTATGGCTGTTTGGCTCCTGTTTCTGTTTGCAAATGGTAGTGGGGTGTGTAGGCGGAAGAGAAGGTTGAGGTGGGAGTGTGGGTCACACTGGGGCCAGCCCTGCCCTGCTGGTGTTCACTTACTAGGGTGCCTGTGTCCTGCTCTGCCAGGTGCCATCGCCTGCAGGATTCTTTGTTCAGCTCTGACAGTGGCTTCAGCAACTACCGTGGCATCTTGAACTGGTGTGTGGTGATGCTGGTGAGTAGGATGGATGTGGGAGCAGATGCTACATGCTGTTAAGTGGAGTTCTGCCCAGGTTGGCCTTCACTAGGGATTAGGCTTTGTCCTCCAGGGTGCAGGAGCTGGAGATTTTGTGGACTGGGTGTGTGGAGCATGCCGCAGCTGCTTCAAGAAGGCTGAATCTCTGTGTGGCCACCAGCACTGGGGTGTTGGGCAGGGGAAGAGGTAGCAGAGGTCCCTGCCATGGCCACACAGGTCTCCTCGCTCACTGCTCCCTGTGAATCCCAGGAGATCCTGCAGAGGTAGTGTGGGTGTGGGGAGGCCAAACAGTGTGCCTGGCTGGAAGCCCGTATGCTAGAAACTGGGCCTAAGGGATGCAGGGCCCCTATGGGAGGGCAGGGAGGAGGGGGAAGGCTTGCCTTGGACTGGTGTGGTGCTGGGCTATGGATGGGGTGCTCTGTGGGTACAAGGTTTCCCTGGCAGGATGTGTGAGAAGAATCTCCTGTGTTATGCCACATGGCCCTTGTGGGGGTAGAGTCCGAGAGGCCTGACCACCCCTCTGCAGGCCTCTTGGCCCTGGGACCCTCTCAGCAAGGCAGTTGGGCAGAGCCATGTACCATATCCAAGGCCCACTGCCTCTGGGCCTGGTTCTGCTGGCACTTTGTGGGGTGTGGCTGGCAGCCCCACCCCAGAGGCAATTGGAGTTCAGGGCTCAAAGGGGCAGCCCACAGGGCAGGTTGGGGGTAAGGGCCTGTCTGGGCTCAGACTCTACCACTCAGGGCTGATGTGGCCTGAGGCCTTTGAACCTCACCTAGATGTGTCAGCCTCTGTTCTTGGGTGCAGTTCATGTGACCACCCATGTGGAAGGGCCTTCACATAACTCCCCACCCCCTCCTGCTTGTGCTTCTGGGAGGTTCCTTGGGGGTAGCTGAGGCTCCCAGCATCCTTGGCCTGGAGAGAGCCTTGGGCCTTGGCCAGCCTGGGTAGCACTCTCTGTTCTCCCAACACCTTGGGCCTGCCTAGCCCTTTGGCCCAGCCCTGAAGCCTTTCCCCTGCTTCTGGCTCGTCTACCATCCCCCCACCCTGACCCATAGGAGACATGCATTCCAGGCTCCGGGATGCATGCTGCATTCTTTCTGTGGTCTGGGCCTGCAGGTGAGCACTGCCCATTGGCATTTCTGGCTTCTGCCTGCTGTGGGCTCTCAAGAGAGGTTACACTGTGCGTGTGACAGTGTGAGGACATGTGTCCAGACAGGAGGCCTGAGGGTCAGCTCAGCAGCTGGGGAGGCAGGGCAGTGGCCCCTATATCTCTAAATCAGTCTACTTCTCCATGAAATCTTCCCTGATCACCTAGGCAAAGGAGTCTGCCAGTGTTCCCTTGCTGACGTTGCTTTTTTACAGCACCTGTCACCACCACTGCATGAGGCCTGAATTCTGGGCTCACTGGGGGCTGCCATATGGAGGTGCTGATAGTTCTTGTGAGATAGATGAAGAGGTTTCTATCCTTGCAGAGGTCAAGGACCTAGCCCCAGGCTAGAGCCAGCAGCCTGTTTTGATGGGGACTCAGTCCTTGGAAGCTGCTTTGGAGCCAAGTGCCTAAGGCTTGAGTGCTTCAGGAAGCAGCTGAGGCAGGACAGGGCAGGGCAGGGCACAAGCTCTGGGAAGCACTCCAGGCCAAACCACCTTCCACCCCCTGGCTCCTCACATCTCTGGCCTGGTCTCTGCTGCCCCCCACAGCCTGCTCTCCCTTGCTGTAGACTCTTGCCACACATCTGGGCACTGTGCAGGGATTGGCCTGGCTGGCAGGGCAGTGCCCTGGGCAAGGGTGAATAACTTCCGCTCCTCAGCTTGGGCAGGCCTCACTCGGCCAGCTTGGGCTTTGGAGCTGTCACTGTGGTAGTGGCTGGCCGTGGGGGACACTTGGGTTCTTCACTAGCTTAGCTCAGTGGGAGGGACACGAGCTGCTGAGCAGCAGGTCTCTTTCTGCTACTGAAGGTGAAGGTATCTGGTAGGTTCCTGGTAGCAGAGTTAGCCCCCTCCACGTAGGCCCTTCTGTTGGTGTGAGAGGGACTGTGAGAGACTTCTGCTTGTCGCTGGACTGGTGTGGGGTGAGGTAGATGCTGGGTCTGGGAGCTTGGCATGGAGACAAGACAGGGATGGGTCTGTAAGACAGAGGCTGCCCCTGAGCTCGCGCTCTTCCCAGAGGCACTGGGAAGAGCTGGGAGGTGCTGGGGTGAGGCGCCCTGGGGCCAGAACTAAAGGGGCTATGCCCTCCTGTCCATCTTTTGTAGATCTTGAGCAATGCGCGGTTATTTTTGGAGAACCTTATCAAGTAAGTACTTCCTCCATTCCCTGGCCTTGTCCCACTGCCTGCCCAGGCCCCACCCACCACCCTCTTAGGCCTCCATCTTTTCACCCCCAGGTATGGCATCCTGGTGGACCCCATCCAGGTGGTGTCTCTGTTCCTGAAGGACCCCTACAGCTGGCCTGCCCTGTGCCTGGTTATTGGTGAGCTGGCCTCCAAGAAGGGCCTCGGGTGGGGACCAGACTAACGTGGCCCTGACCTGGCTCCATGGTGCTTATGTCTGCAGTGGCCAATGTCTTTGTCGTGGCTGCATTCCAGGTTGAGAAGCGCCTGGCGGTGGTAAGTTGTGTCTGCCATTCCCATGTGTGCTCACCCTCTGTGTGCGTTTTCCTGGGAGGAGCTGCTTCCCAGGCTTGGTGGCCCTACCCCAGGGAAGGGTATCCCTGACTGCTCTCCTGCCATCCCAGGGTGCCCTGACGGAGCAGGCAGGGTTGCTGCTGCACATCACCAACCTGACCACCATTCTCTGTTTCCCGGCAGCTGTGGCCCTACTGGTTGAGTCCATCACTCCAGGTGTGCCCCCATCCCACCCTGTCCCACCCCTCTTGGGCCAGTCACAGGTACAGCTTCTGGCTGTGGCCCTGTGGAAGCCTGAGCCCACCTCTCTTGCAGTGGGCTCCATGCTGGCGCTGTTAGTGTACAGCTGCATCTTCCTCAAGCTCTTCTCCTACCACGACGTCAACCTGTGGTGCCGCAGGGCCAGGGCCAAGGCCAAGGCTGGTGAGGGGCGGCTGGGGCCTGGGGCTGCCTGCTGGGGGTGCTGGGCAGCAGCATGGTCCCACTGTTCCCCTTCTGCTCTGCTTTGTTCATAGCTTCTGCAGGGAAGAAGGCTGGCAGTGCTGCTGCCCAGCACACTGTGAGCTACCCGGACAACCTGACCTACCGTGGTAAGTACTCTTTGGGGATCTGGGGCCAGGGGGCAGGGCTGGGGGCAAGGCCAGGCCTGTGTGCCAGGGCCAGCCCTCCTCCTTCCCATTCCAGATCTCTACTACTTCCTCTTTGTCCCCACTTTGTGTTATGAGCTCAACTTTCCTCGCTCCCCTCGCATTCGGAAGCGCTTTCTTCTGCGACGCCTCCTTGAGATGGTAAGATTGGGGTCTGGGGGCCAGTAGGTGCTGGGAACCTCTAGGGCATCAGAGGTCTCAGGTGGTTGTTCTCTGGTTCCCCCCTAGCTGTTCTTCACGCAGCTCCAGGTGGGGCTGATCCAGCAGGTAAGTGAAGTGGGGTGGGGTGGGGCAGCAGGGCTTGGCATAGCTGGGGAGCTGACAGTGTGTCCTCCTTTGCAGTGGATGGTCCCCACCATCCAGAACTCCATGAAGCCCTTCAAGGTGAGCGGCTCAGGCGCTCCTGTGGCTGGGGTAGGTGGGGTGGGGGCCATGGCCAGCTGAGGGGGCCTGTTTCTGCAGGACATGGACTATTCACGCATCATTGAGCGCCTCCTGAAGCTGGCGGTGAGTGTTGGTGGGTGTTGGGTGGGGTGGAGTGTGAGGAAAGGGTGGGGTGTTCTGGAACCTGGAGACCCTCCCCCTACAGGTCCCCAACCACCTCATCTGGCTCATCTTCTTCTACTGGCTCTTCCACTCCTGTATGAATGCTGTGGCAGAGCTCATGCAGTTTGGAGACCGGGAGTTCTACCGAGACTGGTGGTAGGTGGCCTTGGGGATGCCTGTGGGGGCTGAGTGGTCCACGGTGCGCTCTCATCACCCTGCTGTCTCTTGATCTCCAGGAACTCCGAGTCTGTCACTTACTTCTGGCAGAACTGGAACATCCCTGTGCACAAGTGGTGCATCAGGTGGGTGGTATGCATGTGTGCATGGGGTGTGGAGTGCATCTGTGAAGCTGGGCTCCTTTGCATGACCTCCTTCCTCCACAGACACTTCTACAAGCCCATGCTTCGACGGGGCACCAGCAAGTGGATGGCCAGGATAGGTGTGTTCCTGGCCTCAGCCTTCTTCCATGAGGTTAGTGCTCTGCGGTTGTCCTGCCTCAACTCTGGGTGGGGGTGTGGCTCACAGCAGAGACAGCTGACGCCCTCTCTCCCTCCCACTCCAGTACCTGGTGAGCATCCCCCTAAGAATGTTCCGCCTCTGGGCGTTTACGGGCATGATGGCTCAGGTGAGCAACCCCCAAGCGGCCTTCCCACCTGCCTGCTTCTCCCTACCTGAACCTGTGTCCAGCCCTTGTTCCCTGGGGCCCAGGAACAGCCAGCCTTGTGGTGACTGTGACTGACTGACCTTGGCCCTCCATGTCCCCAGCTCCCACTGGCCTGGATTGTTGGCCGCTTCTTCCGGGGCAACTATGGCAACGCGGCCGTGTGGCTGACACTCATCATCGGGCAGCCAGTGGCTGTGCTTATGTACGTCCACGACTACTACGTGCTCAACTATGAGGCCCCTACAGCAGAGGCCTGAGCTGCTCCTAAGGGCCTGGCCTCTCCTCACTGCCACCTCACTGCCTATGGCCAGAGCCGGCCCTCTCCCTCCTGGGCCTCGTGTGTTGGAGATGGGCCCTGGCTGTACAGCATCCTCCTCCTACTCCAGGGAGGCCTCTCTGCCCCTATGGGGCTCCCTCCTGAACCCCTTAGGGATGGTGACAGCAGACCAGGCACAGACTGCTGCCAGCCAGAAGTCTTGTGCTGACCCTGCCCTAGGGACTGAGGTTGTCAATAAAGTGCTGTCCAGTGACCTTTTTCAGCCTGCCAAGGGGCTAGTGGGGGGGACAGCGACACCCAGAGGGTGGGTGCCAGAGCTGTGGGGGCAGCTGCTCCAGGGGGCTAGAAGGCCCTCTTGTTCCCCAGATTGCCTCTGGTGCTCTTGGGGGAGGGGTTTGGGTCCCACTGGTCTCCTTCAACCTTCCTGGCTTGAACAACAGCCAGCCACCTGTGTGCCCACATAGGCTGAGGCGCCACCTGCTGGGGTGCATGGGAGAGGCGGCTACCCTGCAGCAGGGCAGCACACAGCCAGAAGGGGGAGCAGGAGGCCCAGGAAGGGGCCAAGCAGATCTCCATGCCAGGTGCAACCCTGCACTGTGGATGGCATTCTCTACTAAGGAAAGCTTAGTCAGGTCAGACTTCCTGGCATGGAGATTCTGGCATATGCTGCCGTGCCCTTGCTCAGCCTGTGTGGGAGCTCAGTGCTGGGGCCCCTTGGTGGTGGCATGAGCCCACCATGACACTCATCATCGGGCAGCCCGTGGCTATGCTTATGTACGCCCATGACTACTACATACTCAACTATGAGGCTCCTACAGCAGAGGCCTGAGCAGCTCCTGAGGGCCTGGCCTCTCACTGCCACCTCACCGCCTAAGACCAGCGTGGGCCTTCTCCCTCGGAAAGAGGATGACCAAGGAATGGAAGTGTGCCTTAACTTGAGGTGGCCATGAAGTGGCAGTCTCCAGGGCCTTTGCAACTTGGGCCTAGTGGGTTGAGAGGTTATAGCATATGTTGGCCATGTCCATGGGTCACTCACCTTGGGGGCTGGGCAGGCTGGGGACAGGGCTCTGGTCTGTCCTGCCACTTTCCTTCAGCTGGAACCTGGATTCACTTTCCCAGGAGTGAGGCCTCCCTCCCACTCAGGAACACACTGTCCATGAGGACCTCACCTGTACATTGATGGTACCTCCCAGGGGCTGCTGGTTCGAGGCTCAGGCCACCCCTATCCCTGGCACAAAAGACTTTGGGACTAGAGAGGGGTCCTGAGGCCCAGAAGGATTCCCCCATCCCCTGGGCGCCTGGGGAATGGGCCTCAGGGATTGTGGGTCAGTAGCTCTGGGCTGCCCTCCACAAGGATTGGGTCCACCTTTGCCCCCTACGTCCTTCCTCATCCTCATGTCTCCTCCTGGCACCAGCCTGGGCAGTCCAGACAGCACAGCCAACTGTGGCCCTGCCATCCACCAAGGTGGGCAGAGGAAGCCACCTCGGTGGCAGAGGGTCGGGGGCAGTTGTGGGTCCCCATTCCTGCCTTCTCTTTGGTTGCCTGTCTGATGAAAAACTTTTGAGGATGTGCCAGCACCAGACTTACACCTGTGGTCCAACAAGGCAGGTGTTTGAGGAGGCCTTGGTAGCATTGGGGGTACTAGGGGTGGGGCTGGCCTCCCTCTACCCCAGTGGAGTCAGCATCTCCTTTTCTCTTGCTTTCCTGGTGGCTACCATCACTGGCTATGCTGAGGATGGTGAGGAGTGGGTGGACTCCTGGTGGGACAGGAATGGGGCTACGTTGGGAAAGAGTCCCAGTGCCTCTTTCCACTCTTTGGTCAGTAGAGCTTGAGAATAAGGTATCACTGCCAGAGGCAGAATGCAATGGAAGTCTGCTCAACTGCTCACCCCAGGCCATCTGGGAGGCCATCTTCCCTTCTCCCCGTAGAAAACCCCAAAGCAACAGGAGCATGCTTGTGGACATGGAAGGGTACTGGCTGTGCCAGGAAGATGCAGTATGCCTACCCATGTCCCCTTTCCCTGAGTGCAGACACCTTGGGAAGGGGGTCCTGGTGGCCCCACTGATAACTAGAGACTCCCAGAGCCAGGTTGCCTGTCCCTGTCCCTCAATAAACAGTGTGAAATTTGGGTGGGCACAGGGTGCTGCGGACAGTTGTTTTCCTCAGTGGAGGCCACTGTAGGCAGCCCTTCTGTGATCTTTGTTTCCTAAGCCTGTACTCACTATACCCCACCCACCTCAACACCCAAGGACAGAAGGAAACACACAGGAGGCCACAGTGTAGAGCCTTTCTGTTTATAGATTTCTGCCTGTCTCGTCCGTCCGTCCATCCACTTGTGTATATATCTGTATATCTCTGTGGAAAGGAAAGGGGACTCTCGTGTAAAAATCCAAAATACAATTCTTACTATGAACAACCTGCAGGGTCAGTCCAGGTGTGGCTGTGAAGCTTTAACCAAGCCAGGGGACACAGAGCTGGATGAAGGCAGCAGGTCAGCAGGCCACGGGACCCTCACTCCTGATGAGAGGCACCGCACTGCCCAGCCCTGAGCCCCTTTGTTTGTCCACACTGGGGCTGTGGTGGCTGACCCATGGTGCCTGGGACCACCTGCCCGCCCCATTTCTCCAAGACTAGTTCTGCATAGGGGAATACATGGTGGGCAGGCCACTGCCAGCCGGCTCCTCCCGGGCCTCTAGGAAACAGTGGGGTCCTTGGCTTTGGGAGGTTCTGAGCCTGTCAGCAGGGAGATGGTGGGATCGTCTGTGTAGTCATCCCCTTCGGAGAAGTAGGAGCCCTCTCCCAGCTCAAAGAGCACCGGCAGGTCGCCGCTCCCGGTGTCCATGGAGCCGGGGTCCAGCAGGAACAGGGGCTGTGCTGTGTAGTGTACCAGCTGCTTCCCTGCAGGGTGGGGAGATCAGGGCTGTGGGTTTGAGCAGGAGATGGGGGCGTAGGGCTTGGCTGTGGGAGCGGGGCATGAGTCTTAGCTCACCTGAGTCCGGACTGCTGTTCTCTGCCTCAAGAGGCCTGGGGGACTCCTGGGGAGATAGGAGCTCCTGGATCTGTGGAGTGGAGGCGGGTGCAGTGAGGGTTCCTGCTGATCATGTCCCCTGCCCTCCTCTGTGCCCCCTACCCCCCACCCGCCTACGCACGCTGGCCAGACTGCTGTCAAGGTCAGGCAGGTTCATTTCAGGTACAGTCACTGAAGGGCTGAACAGCTGCAAGAGGAGGGAGGGAAGTCAGCACCGAGTCTGTGAGCAGGGCAGGGGGGTGGAGGCGCAGGTAAGACTCACATCCAGCAGGGCACTGGTATCCACGCTGAAGCCGTGACTGGTCAGCATGGTCTGCAGGTTGTCCAGGTTGGAGTCCATGGCATCCAAATGGTCACTGAGCTCATTCCTGCCCCAGGATTAGGAGGCAGGTGAACTAGTGCCCCAGGTCCCCCACCCAGATGCCCTCCTGCTGGAAAAGGGCTTCCCCTTGGCTGCACTACCCCCAGGAACCCGTCCTCCCCAGCCCCATGTGCCTAGCATGGGCTGAAGGGGGACAGTGTATGTAGATGGCCTGGAAAGTGAGCTCTGTGCCCTCCAGGGCTGCAGCTGGGCCCACGGTGGGTGTCCTGTCAGTATGAGAGCCTGTGAGGCTGCAGTGGTGATTCAAGATGGGCTGAGATGGCAGTGGGGGTCAAGGGCAGATTTAGCTCTAGAATAGGATGTGGGGGTACAGTTTTTCAGGCTTCACAAGGCTTGCTGTTGCACTGGAAGATAGGCAGGGAGCTGTGCTCAGTGTTGGGTGAGCCAGCCCACTCCAGGAGCTGCCATGACCAAGAAGATTCTGGGCCACCAGGTGCACCTGGGCCACAGGATGGGTGGCCAGGTGGGCTCCTGGAGGTGTCCTGGGGAATGTTGGTCAGCATAGCAGCCAGGATCCTGCCTGCACCAGAGGTCTCACTAGGCCGGGCAAGCCTGTCCTTGTCACAACGACCTGAGCCACTGGCCCATGCCCAAGGTAGTCAGTGATGGCAGAGTCCCCACTGCAGAGGGGCCCACTCTTACACCCAGGCTGGGGTCTGGGCCCTGGGCCACAGCTGTGGGAAGGGCCCGAGCTCTGGCAGAGCCCTCCTCCCTCCCCAGGGGACAGCGCTAACCCTGGCTGGACTCGGCCAAGCAGAGAGGAAGAGGGGCAGGGGAAGAGGCGGGTGACCCCAGACATCTGTGGAGTGCGAGCCAAACTGCAAGATACAAAGACAAGAGCCCCCATTGCAGGTGGGGGCTGGGCAGTGCCCACGGTCCTCGCTCACTTCAGCCTCTGGGGCAGGGCCTGAGGGGTGGTCCAGGCAGGGCCCCTGCTCACCATCTCCTGCCCCCGGTCTGGGCAGCATGACAGATGCAAGGACCTCGTGGCCTGTTGCAAGAGAGTGAAAGCAGCAGGGGCAGCCCTGAGAGAATGGGCTCCCAGGACACCTGAGCAGGTACCACTAGCCTGCCCTGCCATGCCCCTCAGCTCTGTGGCATTCAGGGCTGTGGGGTGATCTGGTTGGTACTGGTCTCCCTCCTCATCCCGAAGCTCTGAAGTTGGGGGCCGGGTCTGCCCTTGCTGAACCCAGCAAGTCCCTGAGGCTAGGGGAAAGGATCTTGCCCCACTGGCCTCCCTGGGTTCAGCCCTCTAGGGCTAGCTAGTCCCAGCTAGAGCTCAGGGCTGTGCTTCCAGGGGCTGTGGGTGGGCAGCACTCACTTGTCCAGGCAGGCTACGCTGAGGCACTTCTCAGGGGTAGAGGTGGGTGGAGGTGATGGGGGGTGGCCCCTGGTGTCCGTGAGGGTTGTGGCTGAGGCAGGGGCAGGCTCGCTCTCCCTCAGGATGGAGTCGATGAGTGAGGTTGGGGACAAAGGGGTATCCACGGACGGTGGGTGCATAGGACTCGCCTCCTTCACCTGGGGACTCCGAGGCGGGCTGGCAGGCTCCTCTTTGACACGCACCAGTGGGCTGCTAGACAGGGGCCTGAACATAGGGAGTGGGGGTACATTAGCTAGAGCCTTGGCTGGCCCATCCCACCCCCAACTTTGCCCTGGGCCCACAGGGGCCTGCCTAGTGGGGGCCGGGAGGGCTGGGGGTGGTGTGGCCCCCACCTCTCGTCTATGTTGCCGCCGGGGGAGGCCAAGGGGCTGACAGGAGTGAGCTCAGTGATGTCAGAGATGATAGGTCCAGAGCTGGCGACGGCGTCTGGGGGGTAGAGGCTGGAGCTGCTGTAGGCCGGGGATGGAGCCTGCAACCAAAGGAGCCGCATGTAGCATGGCCTGTGGCAGCATCCACCCCTACCTGGTGCCCACACACCTGGCCTGCCCCACCCTGGTGCTCACCGAGAAGGGGCCCGAGCCATGGACATGCTCCAGAGAGTACTGCCGGCCATACTTGGGCATGGAATGTGCTGAACTGCTGTCATTCAACATCAGGGGGCTGTGGGAAAGTGACTGGGATTAGCTGCCTCCCCTGGGTCTCGGTGACCCCCAGGACATAGTTGACAGAGGACAGGAATGACCCCACGCCTGGGCAAAGAATGCAGGTGTTCCCTAAGCCTCACATCTTTCTCTTCACCCCCAGGATCCGGTTTGACTGCACCAGCGAGATCAGGAACTGAATGAGCTGTGGGCAGAGAGGAGAGTCATCACAGCCTGTAGAGGGTACCCCCCCTGGCCCACAGGTCCTGTCCCCACCTTGTTGACGACTTTCTGCTGTTGGGCATGCTTCTGCCGCAAGCTGGCCACCTCTCGCCATAGGGCCTCATTCTCACTGCAACAGACCAGGCTGGGTCAGTGGGGCCCAAGTTCAGGAGCCCTGGGTAGGGGAAACCCCATAGACCACTCCCACCAGGCAGGGACAGGGATGTAAGTGACCATATCTGGCCTGGCCCAGCCCATCTGGGATGAGGACTACTGTGTGGAGGGGCTGGGGGCCAGTGCACTTCAGGGGAGAACATGCAAGGGTAGCTGGGGGCAGAGCTGGCTGGGTGCACCCTAAGACCTGGCATCAATCCTGGCCAACCTCTTCTTGAACACAGGCCATATGGCAGACGTTAAAGCTCTGCCTCTCACTGAGGCCAGGTCAGGGAGGACAGTCTAGTTATTCAGGCAAAATGACACACAGAGCTGTCCCGTGCCTTGTGGGGTGCTCAGGGGCCTTGTCAGGCCCGGGAGTGGTTCAGAGGTGGCTCCATGGGGTGGGGAAGCGATGCCCATACACCATCCCTCTAACCAGGTAAGCAGGGTATGAGTGTACTCCTGCCAATCTGGTGGGCTGGCCCTACCAAAGCCCCCATGTGTCTTCTTTGGGACCACCCTGAGAGGTGCTGTGCCCTGGACAGCTGCACTGGGGTTGCAGTTCCTGAGTCCCCAGGGCCTCAAAGTAGGACAGAAGAGACCTGAGCTGGCCTTGCTGTGTGGCCTCACCTCAGTTTCTCAAGTGCCACCCCATGCTAGGCCCCTTGCGAAGGATCCCCTAGAACCATGGGGTCATGGTTGAGGAAGGCATCAGAGGGCTGGTTATGCAGAGCCCAGACACATGCCAAGGGCAAAGGCTCCAAAAGGAACTTGAAATGCTTCTTGCCCCATAGGCCTGAGGTGGAGGCAGGCAGAAATAGTGACATTCTGTGCAGTGTGATGGTGCCACCAGGAGGGAGAAGAGAGCAGTGAGGAGACCCAGCCACAAGGCTTGTTTGGGCAGCGCCTGCCAGCCCTGGCCTGTGGGGAGGGACCTGGAGGGTCTATGCACACAAGATCAGGCTGGCTGGTACTGGGCACCACCTACACTCCCCTGGCACAGGACCTACTGCTTCATTGCCAGGAGCTTGGAGTCCATGCACTCTTGCTTCCCTTTCATCAGCTGTACATCTGTCAGCAGCTTGGTGACACTATCCTGGCGGATCTTTATGTCCTCACTCTTCAGGGTGGATACCTGGGTGCCAGGGAGAAGAGAGAGCAAGAGTCACTGAAATAGCCCTGGAGGTTGGTGGGCTCCCACTTTGCAGCCAGACCCCCAGGAAGAGGGGGAGGATCTGGCATCTGGAGGGCCCCGGAGGCGGCTGATGAGGAATGGGGTAGACATGAAGAGTCAGAAAGGATGCAAGGAGGGCCACGAGGTGCAGGGGAGGTTGAGTGTGAAGCTGGCAACTCACACTGGTCACTTTCCTCTTGATGTTCTCGAGGAGCTGCTCCTGGCCACGCAGGAAACATGGATGTTGGAACTCGGTATCATCCCTCTCTGGCTTGACCAGGCCACCTTGCTCAATGTGGACCACTTTCCGGAAACCGTCTGCACACAACAGGGATGGGGCAGCTCTGCCTAAGGCCAAGACTGGACTCCTCTCACAGCCAGGCCACTGCTCCCGTCTGCCCCGTGCCTGTGGTGGCTGGGTGGTCTTGGTCTAAGGAAACCCCATGTCCCCACATGGCTTTTCCTGGCCGATGCACATGGGAATTTGGCTAGGGCTTCACAGCTCATTCCTGGGGACCCTGGTTCACATGCACAGGACTCTTCCTCCCACGAAGCAATATGTCCCAGGCCCCCAGGCTTAAGGGGCTCCACGCCATGCCCCTGGCAACTCTGGAGGCACTATCCTTCACTCACAGGGTCAATGTGCTGGGTTCCTACCATCTGTGGGTCTGCTTCCTTATACCCCCCACCTAGCCAGCCAGCCTCCCTGAGGAGACCCCCTTTTTCCCCTGCCCAGAAGGGAGGCGTACTCACACATGTTGAGCTGCCGCACGAAGCTAGCCATGTTGTTGTGCTTGAAGTACTTGGGCAGCACCTCCTTGGCAAACTGGCCCTGGTCAAACACGTGGAAGCTATTCCCGCTCTGCCAGGAGATACATGGCAGGTTATGTGTGGTGACAAGTAGCAGAGGCGCCTGTGGCCTGAGGCACCCCTTCCTTATGCAGCAAGTAGCACACATTTTCACCCTATGAGGCTGAGGCCACAGGGGTCCCAGAGGGACTGGCAGGAGGCAGATTTCGCTCCTGGGACTACCAGCCAGATGTGCCTCATCTATGCCCCTTAGCCTGTATCTTTATTATGAGGCAAAGGACTGGGTGGTGGGAGGCATATGGCAGGTAGAGTCTTCCTCACAGCTGGGGAATACCTCCCCAAGGGTTCCAGAGGTTCTTAGATGCAAAGTTTACCTTCGTGAAGCACCTGCAGAACTCTAGGTCCATTCTCTAGGGGACTGGTATTTAGCTTTAATTAGCAATTTTCCTTAAGGACAGCTAAGACCCCAAATTGAGGCAGCCAAGGAAATGGGAACTGAATACTGTTATTCTGAGGAAAACACAGTTGTGTTCAGAAATGCAACTTCATTCTTCTTTTGGTAAGTGAGACAAGATGGTCAAAATGGCCTACACTTGGGCAGGCATGGTGGCTCATGCCTGTAATCCTAGTGCTTTGGGAGGCTGAGGTGGGAGGATTGCTTGAAACCAGGAGTTCAAGACCAGCCTGGGTAACATAGTGAGACTTTATCTCTACAAAAAATTTTTTTCTAAAATTGCATATATGGTCTTCCATTTCTTTCCTGAACTCAGTCCCAAGCTGTTGGGAGAAGCTGACAGGGTAGGTGCCTCTATAGGCTGGAGGCATCAAAGACTGACAGGCATGGAGAAAAGCCCACACTGCAGGGAAGGGGGAACTGGAGCAGGGCCAGAGAGTGGCGAGGAGGTGAAGGGACAGTCCACACTTAGGGCGACTGTCCCAGTGAATAATCCTGCCAGAGAAGGAGTTATAGATGTGGACAGGGAAAAACCAGAAAGACCTCTGCAGTGTTGAACTCGAATTGGAGTGCTGCTTTTTGATACAAATATATAAAAATAAACATAGCCATGAACATGTAAAGGAAGTGAAAACAGTGGAGGAAGGGACTCCAAAGCAGCAAGGAGAAAAATGGCAAAAAAATGTCAAGTCAACTTCTCCAGAACTCTGCAAATTCACCAAAGAATTGCAGCAGAACGTGTTTACCCAAGAAAAACAGTGGAATCTCAGTAAGAACAGTGAGCTTTGTGGCATTTTAACTTGCTCTATTCCACTTCATCCCCTGCAGCCTTGAAAACCAACAGTTGCAATCCCTGTGGGAACCACTGTGCTGTGGGGTGGGGCTGGAGCTCCTTCAAGGCCTCATTCCCAGGGAACTGTCAGTTTCTGACCCGTCTGGCAGCTCCCTGCAAGATTCCACTTACAAGGCTGTCTTTCATTTGACTTGAAGCTCTCCCAGGGTAAAAAAGCCTTTTTCCTTGGAGTGTCTTTTTTTTTTTGAGTTGGAGTCTCACTCTATCACCCAGGCTGGAGTGCAGTGGCATGCTCACGGCCACCGCAGCCTTGACCTCCAGGCTCAGGTGATCCTTCTGCCTCAGCTTTTCAAACAGCTGGAACTACAGGCACATGCTACCACGCCTGGCTAATTTTTTGATTTACTGTAGAGACGAGCTCTCGTCAAGTTGCCCAGGCTGGTCTTGAACCCCTGGGCTCAAGCAATCCTCTTGCCTTGGCCTCCCAAAGTGCTGGGATTACAGGCTTGAGCCACCATGGCTGGCCTGGCAATTTCTTTTCTTTTCTTTTTTTTTTTTGAGTTGGAGTCTCATTTTCTTTTTAATGCTATGGCTCCTGAGGCAGTATATAACAGTACAAACAATAGACTGACTAGAAAACATAAAAGGGAAAGTTGGTGAATGAGATATCACTAGGGACTCTGAAAAATTCCTGTGAATCTAGAAGCAACGTGCACGTTTAGTGCCATACTCATGTTTAGGAAAGACCTGAGAAAGTCCCAACCTTTTACCTCTGGCTGGCCTTGAGGCTCTACATAAGCACGAATGGAAAGACAAAGTAGGGTTGTCAACTGCCTGGCTGAGTATTGAAGATGTGCCCCAACATATAAACACAGTCTCCCAGAAAAGACTAAGCGACTGACTGGATCCAGGCATTTAAGGACATTTCTGTCCCATCACTATCTAATTAAACTAAAAGAACAGAGGCTGTAGTGGCCATAAACAACAAAGAACACAGACTTCACAGATTAGTCCAGAAAAGCCACCAAACAAATAAAAATTACAACAAACAACAACAAATCCTGAGGAAGTGGGAGAATCTAATCTCCAGAGTTGCCACATTAATTAGAAATCTGATATGCACAAAAAATTATGAGACAAGCAAATAAATAAGAAGGTAAGACATATACACAGAAAAACAATCAGTAGAAACTATTCCTGAAGAAGTCCAAACACTGGACTCACTAGGCAAAGATTTTAACTATATTAAAATATGTTCAAAGAACTAGAGGAAACCATATCTAAAGAACTAAAGTTTAAGAAAGACTTCCAGCCGGGCTCGGTGGCTCAGCCTGTAATCCCGCACTTTGGGAGGCTGAGGTGAGTGGATTGCCTAAGCCTGTGGGTTCGAGACCCACCTGGGCAACTTGGCGAGACCTCATCTCTACAATAAATCAAAGAAATCAGCCGGGTGTGGTAGTGCACGCCTGTAGTTCCAGCTACTTGGAAGGCTGAGGCGAAAGGATCACCGGAGCCCAGCAGGTCGAGGCTGCAGTGGCTGGGAGTGGCCACTGCACTCCAGTCTGGGCGACAGAGTGAGACTCTAACTCAAAAAAAAGAAAAAAAAAGAAAGACTTCCTACCAAATAGAAAATATCAAGAAAATTCACCAGAGGGACTCAAGAGCAGATTTGAGCAGGGAGAAGGAATAAGCAAACATGAAGACAGGTCAATTGAGATTACCCAGTCTGAGAAAAGGAAAGAAAAAAGAATGAAAATGAACAGAACTTCAGAGACCTGTGAGATATCCTCAAACATACAACATATGCATAATGGGAATCTCAGAAAGAGAAGAGAGAAAGAAACAAAGACTATATGAAGAAAAAATGGCCCCAAACTTCCCAAATCTGGTAAAAAACATATAGGAAGCCAAACAACTCCAAGTAGGATAAACTCAGAAGTCCATACCTAGACATTTCATAATAAAACTGGCAAAAGCAGAAGACAAAGGAAAAATCTTGAAAGCAGCAAGAGAGAACAAACTCATTGTGAACAAGGGATCCTTAGTAAGATTAACAGCTGGTTTCTTACCAAAATCCACAGAGGCAGTGACATAACATAGTAAAAGTGTTAAAAGAAAAAAAACCCATATCAATCAGGAATTCTACATTCAGTAAAACTATCCTTTGAAAATGAAGGAGAGATTTCCACTTCTGGTATGACAGTTTAAAGAGCTTAATGGAAGTGAAACAAAGCTTACTTAAACCAAGTAAAGTTTCTGGAAACTGTCTTAAAGGTACATAACAAATAAAAAAATACTTATTCAGTAACTACTAAAATTCAGTAAGAAAAGTGAGTGCAGTGTGCAACGGCTCACACCTGTAATCATAGTACTTTGGGAAGCAAAGGCTAGAGGACTGCCTGAGTCCAGGGGTTTGAGATTAGCCTGAGCACATGGCGAGAGCTTGTCTCTACAATAAATAAAAAAATTAGCCGGGCATGGTGGCACACACCTGTGGTCCAGCTAGTTGGAAGGCTGAGGTGGAAGGATTGCCTGAGCCCAGCAGGTCGAGGCTGTGGTGGCTGTGAGTGTGCCACTGTACTCCAGCCTGGGCGACAGAGTGAAACTCTGACTCAATTTAAAAAAAAAAAATAAGAAAGAAAGGAAAGTGACTGTCTGTGGCATCTAAATCACAACTGACCCTCTCTCTCACCCCAGCTCACCAGGATGGATGCTACTCTCTGGGAGGGTAGGGCCAAGAAGATGGGGATCCCTCAGTTCATGGCTTACTGTGTAGCACATTGGTATGGTCAGACCACCAAAATTTCTTATCCTCTCTAATTTCAAGTTGAAGAGGCTAAATTCCTGGTGACAGTGACCAAGAGGTGAAGGGTTCCCTCTTTCCACCTTGCCCCCAATGACAGAAAGGAGGCTCTACTCCAGACACAGTAGGCTGAGAACACCAGGGCTCTGATCACCTTCCCCCCAACATGCACGTAAGGTAGAGCTATCATTGCTGGGAAAGCAAGACCAAGAAAACCAGAGGCTACTTGCCCTGTCCAGTGCCCAGAGTAGCAGCACAGAGAATTTTCCCAGGGAGAGATGAAGTTGATAAGGAAAGAGTTCCGAAGCTCTCACCAAGGAAACTCACTTTACTTCAAAGTTCAAGCCTAAAAGTGCACTTACAAATAACAGCTCCTTTAGGCTGGGCATGTTGGCTCATGCCTGTGATCTCAATACATTGGGAGGCTAAGGTGGGAGGACTGCTTGAGCAGCCAAGATGGAAGGAGCTCAAGACTTGCATAGGCAACGTAGCAAGACCTTTTCGCTACAAAAAAATAAATAGATACGTGGCATGCAACTCTTGTCCCAGCTACTCAGGAGGATGAGATGGGAAGATTGCTTACGTCCAGGAGTTTGAGACTGCGGTGAGCTGTGATTGTGGTAACAGAGGGAGACCCCAACGGGGAAAAAAGAAAGTAACCAGCTAAACAGCAGGTTGGCTTGTGGGAAAGCTATGAAGGAGAAAATTTATGAAGTCTTCCTAGGGTCAGAACAAACCTAACCCTGACCCCAAAAACTACAAACCTAAGCCTGACCTCAAAAACTACCACTGCTAAAAACACCCACAAAATATCCCCACAAACCAACAGCAATCCAACAATGCCCCCCTCCAAAACCCAAACCCAACCAAACTAGAAAAACCTCACCACCATGCAAATTTAATTAGATTAGGCTGCTGAACAACTTGTGCCACAGGGTATTATAAAAAATAACAGAGCAATCAAGTAGTGGTTAATGGAGCTTCCAGGCTGGGTATAATACC